GTCCTAAGTCATTCTAACTAAGGTTTCCTTCTTCTCTTAACCCCAAGTATAAACTATTGTCAACGGAGTTAAAGCTCAGTTAAAGATGTTTCTGGGGAAGCTGAGATCAGGGAAAACTTACTTTAAAAGTGAATGCCTTCTATGATTCTTTATAATTATATGCACATCAATCTTTAAACCTATTGGCTTATGGAATATAGTTTTGTTCTGCTCTTTTGAGTACTCAAGAAAATTAACCTTCAAGAGTAGAAATCCCACTTGTTTACTTAGGAAATTTCAAGTGAGAAATTTTATGATATCAAATGATGTATTACTCTAGTCCTGTCTCCATGGAAGTCACCTCTACAGGAAAGAAGCCATTCTTCCATGTAGCAGGCACATTCTGAGCTCTCGTGTAAGAAGGTGAAAAGTGACATACCTTGTTCACTTATTCAGTAAACATACTTATCATTTTATACGGGAGGATGCAGTAAGAGTAACACACATGCAAAGAAAACCCAGTCTGGTAGAGTTCACTGGAGCAAGTTGTTAATGAGACTAAACACACAGTCTTAGGCAGGGAGCTAACACTGCATGGAAATAGATTCTAGTTCACAGCTGTGGCCAAAACGGAAGTTATGACATGCAATTTGTGCCCCATGATGGCATGACAGATGTGTCTGTAGGCTGAGCTCTTGAACACCTCAGTCCTGGATTGCTCAATGAAATGTGTTCATTGATTTTTCTCTTTGTTCTAATTTCCTTCTTGATTGCTGTTTAACTGGTGGGTTTCACACTTTTACATTAACTTAAATGAAGACATAATGTATGCACAGCACTCTTTGGTAATTTTCTCTGTTTCAGACACACCTGCCTCATTTCCAGCAGTTATCAAGCCTCTTATCCTCTGGGGTTTTAAGAGAGAGGCCCCTCATCCCTATTTTCTCCCCTATAATCGAGTGTCCCACACCAGAAGAGGAAGCAAAGGAGGATGGACACTGGACATGTAATGACTCCTCTTGGATAATTTGGAAAAACTGTACAGGGGTATTTAATAGCATTTCTTACAACAAAAAGCCA